CCTCTGTCTGAGTAGTGTGGTTAGCTCCTTACTCGCCGTAGTTTGATCCACTTCTATTCCGTTGGTGATCACCTGTATTACTGTATTCAGCGTATCGTCCAACCTCTGCCTACGTGCAAGTCTTAGTGGGTCTTGTTCTACTGCATGCACTCCGTAAGCGACCTCGGGCAACTCAGACTCATCTTCTGGTCTCGATAACAAATCTGCCAAGACATTTTCACTTCCAGGAACGTGTGAGATCGTAAAATCGTACTCCTGAAGACGCAACATCCACCGTGACAACTTCCCCCGTGGGTCTCTCGCTGTCTTCAAAAATTGTAGCGGCTTATGATCAGTTTCGATGTGGAACCGCCGGCCGAGTAAATAAGGTCTCCATTTGTCGACTGCCCATACCATTGCTAAACATTCTTTCTCTATCGTTGAATACTTTCTCTCTGTGAGGGTCAAACCCTACTGGCATACTCAACGATTCCCTCGTCCTGTCTTAGGACCGCACCTATAGCGTAGTCACTGGCATCTGTGCACACTGTGAACTGTCTTCCTGGCACAGGTAGTTTTAGCGTCATTTGTTGGTGGTCGAGCAGCTGTTTAATTCTGTCGAATGTCCTCTGCGATTCTTCCGACCAAACAAACTTTGGCTCACCTAGTAGCCTGTATAGAGGGGCTGCTATCTCATTGAAGTTCTTCACGAAGCGACTATAAAACGCTGCTCTACCCAAGAATTGTCTCAGTTTTCTCTTTGAATTCGGGGCTGGAATCGTTTTAATCGTCAAAATTTTCTCCGGCAGTGGTTTAATCTCACCATTTCCCACTTTATGTCCCAACAGAGTAACATTCTTTTTGGCTATCTGAGACTTGGTTTTGTTGACGCGTAGTCCAAACTCTTCGATGCGTCGCAGCACGGCTTCTACATGGTTGACGTGATCGTTTTCGTTTGACTGTATATGACGAGATCATCACCATAAACCTCCACGTTTTTCAAGTTCTTAAGTAATAGCTTCATCAGTCGTCTGAACGTAAACGGTGCACCTGCTAGTCCAAACGGCATGCGTTTAAATCGATATTGTGTCTGACCCACGATGAAAGCCGTCTTATCTCTATCACTTGTTTTATCGGTATCTGCCAGTATCCTGAGCGAAGATCGAGAACCGAAAACACATTCGCACCTTGTAGGCGATCTAAGTTTCTACCACTGTTGGCATGGCACACGGTCTTAACTCTGTCATACTGTTTAACTGTCGGAAATCAACACAGAATCTATATTTCCCATTCGCTTTTTTTACTAACAGCACTGGAGAGTTGTATGGGCTATCAGCTTCCTCAATAATATCATCTTTTAACATCTCTTGCACTTGTCGCTCCACTTCGCCTTCCAGATGACATGGAACTCTTCGCGTTAAAAATGACCTTACTTTCGGATCACTTAACGGAATTTCATGATTCACCTTATCGCAATAACCGTATGGGTCCCATCTCCAGTGAACAGATGATCGTATTTATTAATTAACTCTGTCACATTGTGTACCGTCGACAGCTTAATCGCTGCTATCTCGCTGGTCTCATACATGTTGATATGCCCGTATTTCGTGATCACCACGTTCGCTTGCGTGTCGATTATGGCACCAATCTCACGCAGAAAATCCGCTCCTAATATCGTTCGCTGTAGTTCGGGTACAACAATGAAAGGAAACGTCACCTCGCAGCCACCAACAACGACCGTACAGTTCGATCTACCCGTGATACGCAACACATACCCGCCTACTGTTTGTACTGTCAATGAACACGGACTAACACTCTTACATAAATTCTTATCTATTAACGACACGGCCGCCCTGTATCTATCAAACATACTACTTCTCGATCATTCACTCGCAACTTCGAATACAGAGCGCCTTTCTCAATAGCCCCCACTAAATCTAGGTTCATACGAAAGAAAGAACAAGCATTATACCGTCTGAAATTTTTTCTTTTTCGCCTTTCTGGGCAGTATCTTCTCCAGTGTCCCGGCTTACCGCATTCAAAACACCGGTCTTTTCTATCAGCCAACTTTAACGCCGCCACTTCCCGCTGCAATGCTTCAATTTTTGCTCATATTCGTTTGGTTTTGGTTGGTCTATAGCGGCTACCGTTGTGCTCAGCAGCTGTCTGGTCACCTTCGCCAGCTCACTAATATCCATCGGCTGCGTTGCGTTAACCAGTTTTAATCGCTGAGAAATGTGGTCGGGGACACTCTCGATGAATTGGGAAGACAGTAACTGCGCTTCTGATTCTTCATCTAAAGTGGGAAGCGCGCGTCGAAGTAGATTAGTCAGTTTCACCGCCAACACTAGCGGGTCTCCATCAGGTCCAAGCTTCATTGACCGGAACTGCTGCATTGCTAGCTGTCTGTCTGTTTCGCTGTCAAACTCGGACACTAGTCGTTCAACCAATTTCTTCCAAGACGCTGTGCCATTTGACCTGTCTACGCTGTCATATGCAGCCTTCGCTCGGCCTCTCAACAGCGTCCCCAGGACAACTGCCTTCGCCGCCTGCTCCTTGACACCCACCAGCTCAGCAACGGCTCGAAGTCACGTAAGAAGCTCCGTATGTCACCTTCTTCAAACGCAGCTGGCCACGGGATCTTCATCTTTTGGAGGCAGCGACACCAAATGTAACAACAGAAGACAAGGGCTGGCAACAGATCGTTTTATTACGAAAATCAACACGTATTTATATATATTTTATATGCATTAATAAGGCTTATGCAAGCAGAAAAAGGCAGTCTTCTGATTGGTTGTTTCTCGGAAGTTAAGCAGACAAACACAGTCTTATGATTGGTTGTGTTCGATATTTCTCGGAAAGTAGAGCCATCTATCTGCGAATCATATTTGTCCACATTTAGGTTTGCTGTGATTGGTTGTTGAAACAGCCTTGTTCACGGTCAATATTAGTGACCTAGACATTAACGTAGATTAGTGCCAACCAATCGGCTAGCAGCCTGCTCTCACCACAATAGAACACACCAACTTAGTGTGTGGTTTGTGTGTGTCTACAAATCACATATACGAAAAGTTTTCCAAATTACTAATAACAATTTTTGTTAAGTTACATATGCAGAAATAGCTTCTGCATTCTATGAAAAGAGAAAGCGAAATCTAGTTGGACAAATTTCTCTTAAAACAACATTAAAATGTATCATGTTGCATTGCTTCTTCCACTGTACACTCCCTCTGTCTGACATGTTAAGTGCAACTATGAAGTGCGTTGTTATCGCTTCCGTTGGTGAATTTAACTTCAACACCTCATTTAAACTAATCGTTTATTTGTATGCAAGTTTTGTACTGTCTTGGATAAGTTGCACCATGCTGATATCCTCTGTGAATCTGTGACATGGTTTTTATTTAACACCGTCAATGTCCAATGTGTAGCGCAAAATTCAAATTAATCACTTGTTTAAGTAAACTGCTAGTCAAAGTTAAACTTTTTAATCACCACTAATTACCAATGAGCGAGCGATCTCAAACGCACCAATCACGTGAAGGAGGCATTTTTGTGTATAGATTAAATACATTTATGAAATAATGCATAAAATCTGTAGAAAAGGTTTACCGGGGATACCTTCCTTTCACACGTGATAAAAGTTGCTCTCAGTTTTGGGTTGATACATCAAAAGAGTATAATTTCTTTGTGGGCAGAGTTTATTTTGACAAAGTCTCATGTGCTATACAATAATATTTACTGAGCGATAAATTGTGCTGAAAGCGTCAACAGTAAATGTTACTGTATAAGACTGTGAGACTTTATCAAAATAAGTTTTACCCACAATGGAATTATACTCTACTACAGTGCACAAGGTCTATTCTTATATCAACAGAGTAATTTGACCACGTTCTATGCATACTGGTGAAATGTTTAAATGACAGAGCACAAAAACTAAGTAGTACCAAAGAAAATCTAAGACAGGAAGTGATACACATAAAAGACGCCTTGAAACTTAATAATTACCCGGATAAATTGGTCAGGAAATATGTAAGGAAATGTAAAAATAAAATACATAATAATAGTAGCGATTGTGATAATAACAATAATAATGGTAATAATAATAGTGACAGTAATAATATTAATGACGACACCAACAATAAGGAATCTAAATCATCAGCAGTAATTTTGTACAAGGAAGGAACCTCGGAAACCTTACGCAGAATTCTTAATAATGCAGGCAGGAATAAAAGTGGCTGGCATTCAAACCCACAAACTCGATTAGAAACAAGCTATGTCGGTTGCAGCATCAATCCTGTGGAGCCTTTAAAACAAAACAATTTAGTTTATCTAATACCCTGCTGGAATGATTGTCAGGTCAAATACATAGGTCAAACTAGTAGAACAGGGGCAGTCAGACTAGCGGAGCATATGATATGATAATGAACAATAATGAATCGTGTTCGAAACGTCATCCAGTAAATAATACTGTTTCCTCACTGTGTGATATATCTAATAAACAAACTAATATGGAATTACTCACTACCACAGTGCCCAAGTTGTACACATATATTCTATGCATATAAACATTTAGATCTTCTAATCTTAACAGCAACACTAATCTTTCCTTAACCCAACCCTAACGTGAAAATATTCCTAAACTAATTGTAGTTTAACTCCAACCAACCCTAATATTGCCTTTATCGGGTTAACCTAACCGTAACTTCTCCTTGGCTTAAAGCGTAACTTAATCTTTTCCAAACCTAAGCTGAAAATTGCCAGAAATCCCATTAAATAGCATAACACTTTGATGAGCATATTCTGATTGATGATGACAACATTATTTGCCAGGTTTCACTGAAACTCGTTCAGTCAGCGTTTCATGGTCATTGGTGCGGTCGCACTCCATTGGTTGTTGGCGGGTGGTGCTTAAAGTTTAACTTGGCCAACTACTACAAATTTGTTTTCGTGTATTATGTAAATAACTTAGCAATTATTATTATTATTATTATTATTATTATTATTATTATTATTATACTTACCATTAAAGAATTTTAGAATATCTGTAAATTCCATATGATTAGCACTGATCACATCTCTATAATTTTGAATTAATGCTAATGCTATGAAAAGACTAAAATCCTTAGAAATTAAATGTTCTGCGCATAAAATCACCTCCCATATTCGAAAGACATCTTGATATTTAAATTCTAAAAAAAAGTAATAAAAATAATTTTTAGTTTTTGTCTCATCAACTGAACTTAAGGGAAGGTGTATATGACTTTTCAAACCGATGACACCAGTAATGAAATCAAAAATCACCGAGACGACCGTCTGGTATTAGGATGGCTTCGATCTGACTGACTAGCAAACACTGCTGGATGATATGACTGACAAACATCTGACTACTCATCGCAATCAATCAGTAGTGTATAGGTCGACGCTATAATAATTTTATGACCAGTAACTAGACTCATTGTGTCTTCAACTTGATTTTAGACCATATCAGATTATTTCAGCTTGATTATAAAGGTGAAAACATTGCAGCAATGGTCAACAGAAGAGTGAACACACGTTACTAGCCACAGCCTATCCTGCAGCTAAGCTCGTCTACGTCTATCAAACAATTTGCTTTTTGGTGCAATCAAAAATCGATAGATATCCTTCTCATGTTAACTCCAACTGTATATACTAATTCATATGTATCTGCGGGAGCAGTTACATTGGGAGAGGAGAAAGAAGGGAATACTTCCAATTTCCTGAACATGTACCAAAAAGCCTATCTATCTATCTAAAGGGAACAAATACTCTCAACGGTACCATCAACAGGCATCTCCTTGACATGGGTCATGAGGTGGACGTTGGAAAGTTGTTCAAAGTTATCAATGGGCAGAAGAGCTCAATTCTCCTCAAGTTTTCTGAAGCCAATTCCATCAAGCGCCTGAAACCTGATTTATGCATCCAGAAAGAAGCGATTATCAGTCTTTCTTCGCCTTGGTAACTGGATATTTTTCATCTCTCTTTCATCCAGATGCGAAATGCTGATAAGTTTCCATTGTGTACGATTATTATTGTTGTTCGGAATAATGTTTAATATTACATATATAAATGTATATATTATTGGTGTATGCATATACTGATCGATTGATTTTTGTTTAAAATGAACTCCGTGTAAGTATGTCAAAATTGTTTTTGTAGATATATGTTTAATAATGTCTTTGGCCTGTAAGCAGCTGACGAGAAGGAAACGAGATAAAAGATGGTACCACTTTATTCTGCTAAGAATGCAGTTCTTCCTTTGTTCAGATTATTTTTACTTGACATTCACACTGGTAAGTCAGTTCTATGGTATCTAGACTGTATTTCTTCTGTCTGGTTTCATGTATGCTATACAGCGTTCGAGAATCGATGTCCAAGAACGATGAAACAGGTGACCATTTGGTAGAAGTCTTCTACTTCATTCCACTGTAAAGTAAATGATATCAATACTTAATAATTTTATCTTGACCGGTGATTTTTATATTAGTAATGAAGCAGTCATGCGAGCATTACTCTCTCTCTCTCTCTTAACATGCTGTTTGCTGTATAGTTCTTTTCAGATAGCAAAATCTTAACCAGTCATTTAATTTATTTTATTTTTTATTTCTTTGCATTTTTCGAGTGGAACGTAGGGCTTCAGACTTATATCTTTGAAGTTTCATTAGCAATCGTGTTAATTCTATCTTCTTTCATCAGAGAGGGAAGTCGCCAGCCTCATGCCTAGCCTTCCCTCTTCTCCAGTCATTATACCGGATAAGCGAGGTCTTGCGAGTGGGTCATCCCGGATTAGGAGATTAGACCAGCTGAGCGGTTGGCCGGCATCATTCCCCTGAATTTGAATAAAGCGAGAACACCAGTGGTGGTTTGTGCAGAATAATATGATACCACCATTGTTTATTTCGTTGGCTTCTCATCAGATGCCTACATCCTAAATAAATTATTATTAAATTTATTTTTCTATATTTTGATTTGTAAGGATTGGTTTTGTTTTTACGAGTTGATCATGGATTCATATCAGTTAGAGAACCATTGAAAACCAGCCGGAGTATTGAACAGCTGTTTCCTCCCTCCTAGTTTGGGAATCATCGGCAGTACGCACCCACCACCCACCAAGGTTCGAACCCAGGACCTTCTGGTTACAAGGCAAGCTGGCTCGTATACCATTCAGCCACTGAGACCTGATTCAATGGCTCATGAATTCTAACTTCTAACAGTTCGGGATTTAGCGCGACCCCAACCATTGTCGTTGGTGGGACATCCATCCACACACGTGACATCTAATTGGACCTCACTGGTGACGACTTCTCACTAGAACTCAGGAAACTCCATCCTGTAGCAAGTCACTAGCGAGCATCAGATTAATTTTCTATAGTTTGGTTAGTAAGGGTTAGTTATGTGATCAACTCGTAAAAACATAACTAACCCTTACTAACCAAACTATAGAAAATTAATCTGATGCTCGCTAGTGACTTGCTACAGGATGGAGTTTCCTGAGTTCTAGTGAGAAGTCGTCACCAGTGAGGTCCAATTAGATGTCACGTGTGTGGATGGATGTCCCACCAACGACAATGGTTGGGGTCGCGCTAAATCCCGAACTGTTAGAAGTTAGAATTCATGAGCCATTGAATCAGGTCTCAGTGGCTGAATGGTATACGAGCCAGCTTGCCTTGTAACCAGAAGGTCCTGGGTTCGAACCTTGGTGGGTGGTGGGTGCGTACTGCCGATGATTCCCAAACTAGGAGGGAGGAAACAGCTGTTCAATACTCCCGGCTGGTTTTCAATGGTTCTCTAACTGATATTAAATTTATGTACAGAAACGTTTTAACATACTTGCAAATTTTCATGATGTCAGTTGATAAAAGGTTCTGCAATTAGTGAACAGTGCTCAGGAAATCGCGCTTATATAGTTTTTACACAGGTAGTTCAAGTTTAAACAAAATAAATGTATGTATAAAATGGCAAAGCGGTTACGTAATAAAGATGGGATATGTGTAAGATGCAGGGTGACTAATAAATTAGGTAACAATGTACTGAGTTCACCTGAAACCATAGAAACAAGAAATAAGCAAAATTACAGATTTCATCATGAGCTGACATTAGTTAGAGAACCATTGGAAAACCTGGGAGTACTGGACAGCTGTTTCGTCCTAGTTTGGGACTCTTCATCAGTACGCACCCACCGGGATTTGAACACAAACTAGGACGAAACAGCTGTCCAGTACTCCCAGGTTTTCCAATGGTTCTCTAACTAATGTCAGCTCATTGATGAAATCCTGAAACCAACCAAATCCCTGCAAACCAACACTTAAAATTACAGATTATAAAAGGGGGTGAGGTTGAAGACAAATATTACGTAATCAGACGAGAGAATAAATACATCCAGTTACCAGTTACGTAACTCCCTTACCATTGTATGCATACATTTATTTTGTTTGAACTTGAACTGCCTGTGTAAAAAACTATATAAGCGCAATTTCCTGAGCACTGTCCACTAATTGTGGAACTTTCTGTCAATTGACAACATGTAAAATTTGCGAGTATGTTGAAACTTTTCTGTACATAGGCCTCATAATTTGTTTAGTCTGTAGGCAGCAGCTGATGAGAAGCCAACGAAATAAACTATGATGGTACCATATTATTCTACACAAACCATTGTTGTTCTTACTTTATTCAAATTCATCAAGGGGAATAAATGCATGAAAAGTCCCCTGAATCACCCACCGACCTAACTAGTCAACTGTAAACAAATTCTCAATTCTAGTGAATAATATTCAAATGATGTCAACCTTAAGAAATAATTAATTGAATCCATTTCGTATTGTACTATGTCGCTTTATACAAACATTCCAAGTGAATGACAATAGCGAAGCAAATGATTGATGGTTGTCTAAATTACAATAATGAGGTTATGATCGATTTCGCAGATAAGACTATTAGTAAAAGGAGAATAGTAGTTCTAACTCATTTTAGAACAAAGTTAATTTCGTCGGCTGTTGAATCAGGTATCAGTGGTTGAATGGACTACGAGTTCACCTTGCCACCGAAAGGTCCTGGGTTCGAACCCCCTATAGGGATGTACTACTGAAGCGCTCAAAACTAAAGCTAAATAGCTCTCCTTAACCCTAAATGATATCGAACAGTGATCGAATTTGAAATGTATTAAATCTCAACAAACCAACTCGTGATAATTTCAAAAATTGAAATTCCACGTGTGTAAATCCGTCAATTAAACTTACCTCGTTTAAAATCTAATAGAAACCATCGATAACAAAAGTAAAAGTGTGTAAAATCACTGAATTTTTGTAGATGACTAATCAATTGTGGATCTAAAATCTGAAATCAAAATACAAAACACTCGATTTAGTTATATACATATACGATAGTTTCACCTTGAAAATGTATAGTAACTGTTATATACACCTAATGTTTCCAAAATTTTACAATTCTTACTACAGTGGAATGAGAGAGTAGTTTGAAACTCTTCAGGAGTAGGAAACCGTTGGGGTTCGAACCCAGGACCTTCTGGTTATAAGGCGAGCACGTAGACTATTGAGCCACTGGGACCTGGTCCAATGAATTCTAAATTCTGCCCATTCACGACAGCGCGACTGAATTCTCTCAGTCAGGTTTGCAATGTGTCCACCATTCTAGGTAGATCACCATCACGGTGCACATTGATTTAATGATATTAGATGGTTGGAGACAATCGGCCACAGGTAGCCTTCGACCTAGGTTTCGTGCTAGCTGGCACTCACCAGTCAGTAAGGCACATCTGCAACCTCGAAGAAACTTATGTCCCTTTTGAGATTCGAACCTGCGTCACCCGGTGCTGCAGTCAGAGACGTTACCACTGAACTTTTCAGGCTCGCTACTGACCTCGTATAGGACTGTGGTGGATATTTCGATTGGACACTATTAACTAGTGTGATATGTCTTGTCCTTTCTTTGGTGTAGACTGAATTCTCACCTTTTATGACCTCTGAACCCCTTTTGGTTGTTCGCTGTTTTAGTTTATCTAGTGAAGGTCATTCAAGCCTATTTATATGGAACTACCGTCAAGTTTTTCTCCCTCTTGATCCGATATAGTAAAAACTCTCTATTCATCGGTCTGTCTTCTTTTTCCTTTTCTTTTTGGGTCATGCACCATTAGTGTCACCCTGTGATGATTGTCTCTGTAAATAGTGATTAGATCAGTAGTAGGCTAGTGAAATTTACAAGTTTAGAAGTTTGTTGGCTCAAGGAACGCGTAAACTACCAGGTTGTATATGATGGTCATATGAGTAACCTGAAAAAAATAGAAACAAATTTAAGCCAGATTAAGCGTACAGATCTTACACTAGCTATATCAGATGTTCAACTGCAGTCATAGCGGAATGCGTAGATAAAAACCAACCACCACCACCACCCCGTTCTACTGAAAAAAGCCGTGGGAGCATTTCTGTTAGAAGTTTATATTTTAAAATATCATGTTCGTGCCTAAACACAACCTCCTACTTCAAAGTTATCTAGTAGACGAAGAATATCCTACTAAGATCAATGCGAGTCAGATTTATGTGTGCGTCACTAGAGCTTGAACCATCGATATAGAAAACCTGGAGTTTTACATATTGCAGAAGCTTTCTCAACTCCCTATCGGTGTAGGAAGGAGATCTATTACGCGCTTATAACACTGACTGATGGTTGCACTATAGATATCGTGAGTTCATGGGTATTCGGACTGCGTCCTAGTGATTGGATGGTCTACGAGCTCTCCTTATAAACTGAGGATTCTGGGTTCGAACTTCAGTGAGTACGTACTGTAAGAAAGAGTCGTAAACTAGAACGAAACAGCTTCCAGTGATTGTTTAACTGGCGTCAACTCGTGATCAAACCTGTAACTTGCCTTGTTACGCAACTTCTTATTCTATAATTATCTACTTTCACTATAACTTAATTATATTTTGATCAAACACTCACTCATTAAGTCTGTATTTTTGCTACTAGTTATTATGTTTATTTAATTATAAAACTGTTGGACACACTCATGAAGCGAATTATATATAATTCCATTCTTATAAGTGTAGTAAGGGAATTCGTTGAAAATAGTGTCTTTGCTAAATGAAGAGGAGATTTCCTATAGGTCAAAATCTAAGTATACTTCAGTGATTTCCTTGACATCTGTATGCTGTACCCTTCTTGATATAATAGAGAAGATTTATAGCTCAGGTGGATGATTGGCAATTAAAATAGTGTTCTCTGAGCTGATTGGTTTAATTGCAGAGATTTCATCGTCCACCTTTCTGGACAACATCCCGCTTCAACGCAATAGTTAGCATTAAGTGAAATGATTTAAATTTCTTCATGAGTGACACATAGAAACGCGTCTCCCGGTAACCATCTCTACATATTTATTGATCATTTTCTATTGACTTGGATTTGAAACTTTCTGGTTTACTTTTTATTAGTTGGTATATTTGGTGTATATTAACGTGTTTGTTAACTGCATATTCGTTTGAGTACCAGGCTTCTAGGAATTCCCTGACTGCACTTTTGGTGTCTCCTCTGTCTAAGATTTCGGCATTATACCAATCAAACTGATGCCCTCCTATTCCTGGGAACGCAGTGTAGAATATAACTCGGGTAATATTTTATGTATTTACTTCCTAAAGTCCCCTAGAAAAAAAACAGTAAGCGAGAATATCATAGATATTACGTCGGTATTTACATGAAATCCAAGATATTTAGGTTGCTGAGTGAGTCGTTTTCCAAATGGAGAGGAACTAGGATTTTTTTATAAACCAGTTGAGGTAGTTTCATTTCCTGGTGAAATTAAGGTTTTGTTTTTGTCACCATACTGTGTATTTTCAAGTGTTAGTCTGTAGGCATTTGATCTGTTTCTTGCTTGACTATGGACTAATTCCAGTTTGGTAATCACTGAAAACCAGGGAGTACTGAACAGATGTTTCTACCTAGTATGGGACTCTTCATCACCACTCAACGACAACTCTACCGGCAGTTGAACCGAGAACCATCAGGTTATGAGGTTGATGTATATATCCATATAATATGTGTGTTTGTTTGACAGTCTTTTCTTGGTGACATGTATCCATATAACATGTGTGTTTTGTTTGACAGTCTGATATATTTTCCTATGTATACATGGATCGATATTCCATTATAATTAGCCAATCATGTTAAGACTGTCTATTGATTTGTTCATTTTGAATATTCGCTCACACACTTGTTCGGACATTCATATTTATTTTGCTCTCACACTCTTGTGTGACATATTGACATATTGATCGCAAACCTAGTAGTCTTCTGATTTCCGTCTTTCTTGCGTCAGGACTATTGAATTCTCGACCAGTACATAACAATAATTTGGCGACGAGTACATAATAGAGGTCGAGCTCGATAGCCATTCAGCCACTTGGGTCATAATCCAATACTCTGTGAGTTCTGGCTTCTGTCAGTTAGCTCGATCGCCAAGCAGTATTGTTGGTGAGCATTTGTCCTCACACCCCACCATTCCATTATTGATATTATTGTTTTATTCCTGTAACTGACCGAGAATATTTTGAGACTTGTTACACTTGAGACTCTGCGTTTTTTATTTTTATTCCTTCACGTTCCTAATGGAAGGAACATAGAGCTTCAAGCTAGAGAGGTTTGAAGTTTCGATAGCAGTGGTGATTATTTTTACGGGATAAGGTTGCTAGCCCCTCATGCCCAACCTTCCCTCTTTACCAGTCTTATTACTGCCCTAGTGAGGTAAACGAGTTTGTCAGTGGTTGGGGGATCGAACCCCGAACCATATGCGTAGTTGGCGAGGATTCCACAGCTGCGCCACCGACCCTGTAACCCAGTCAAAAACACTGGAGATGATTTGAAAGATTGTGAAGGAAGTTTTGGGCCTAGGTTTTGTGTATTTTGACACTCTTCAGCAAGGCCTGTCTAGTACCTAAACGGAAATAATGTCCTCTTTTTCAGTTATTGAGACAGTCACGGCTGATCGCCTGTAGGAGTGCAATAGACACACTGATAGGTTATCGGGGTGCTAATAATCGCTTCTCTCGTTCATTTCGTAATAATGATATTATTGGTTTGAAAACTGACTATCACAAAGTATGAAGGTTCTATCAACATGAAATAATGGAACATGCAGGAATGGATCTGTTGAGATGATCTTGCCTTAAGTGACAGAAGCGAATTGCTCGAAAAGCAGTCCAACTCAAACAAAGACAAAGTAGTTCAATTCTACTTTAGATTTCCCCCATCGATTGATTGGACCGAAGTGCTCGGTCTCAGTTTAATATGTCGGCTTCTTGTGCAGATGCTTCGACGATGTCTAGGCATATAATCAGAATTTACTTGGTGGATAGTGGCTAGCAGTGGAATCCAGGGTGTGCGTTTCGTCCTATTTGGGACTCGTCAGCTAACTGGATGTACCTACATTCCCCAGTCAGTAAGTGTCGATGTTCCCACCGAGGCTCGAACCAAGTGACCATAGTTTCAAACGCCAAAGCGTTATCCACCAGACCTCTTAGGCTACGAGAGCCACCGAGCACTTCTGTCCAATCAATCGACGGGAGAATCTATAATCGAATTAAATATTTAATATGACCCGTCGCACAAGAGGTGGCTTTTGAGACCCGAGGGATCCAGTGGATAACTCTTTGGCGTTTGAAACTATGGGCACCGGGTTCGGCTCTCTGTGGGGACATCACCCTATGATTGGGGAATGCAGGCACATCCAGATGACGAGTCCCAAAGAGGGCGGAATGAGCTTTACCCTGGAATCCACTGCTAGCTACCATCTACCAAGTATCTTTGTCTGTGGCACAGTGGTTAGTACTCTCAGCGACCATGCACATGGTCCAAGGTTCGATTCCCCTGCTGACTCACACCTGATATCTATGGTTCGCCTGCAAAATTAGGGCTACCGATATCACATGCTGAAAACTCCATACTTGTACCGAAAATACAGAGTGGAATCAAGCTGTAATAAAAAAAAATCTGCCACATTCAGAACTATCAGGTTTAGGTTGGATCTTTCGTGTCGAGGTTCAAAAAACCTTTTGATACTGCCAGAATTATTATTATGAATCTTCGGGTTAGATTTAAGCCAATTTATATATATATATATATATGTGAACAGTGATTGTAATTTCGTAGTGAACATAAGCCATGCTATGTGAAACGATAATATCTAATAATGTACTCCAGGTTTAATCGTCAACGTGCTGAAGTGGTCCCTAAATCTTAGCACTCCAGTAAATCTGTGTACTGTCAGGCTTAAATAGACCCAAAAACATTTTAACACCGTTTCCCTTGATAGTATGGTACTCCATGCAGTTTTTCCAAAAGGTTTCTATAACCGATGTCAGCTCATGATGAAATCCTTTTGCCAATCAATCAAATCCCTACAAACCAATACTTGAATATTGATAAGATGCTCACTTGTGACTTGCCCTATTCAGGTGTGTAGTTACCTGGGGTTCTGGTAGGAGATCGTGGCCAGTGCGGACAAATACTCTCCGAAGATATTGGCTAGTGGTCGTGCAATGTCATGAATTGGCAGAAGTTGGAACTGGTGGACTGGCCATTGGTCTACAAGCTCGTCTTGTAACCAGAAGGTCTTGCGTTTGAACTCCGGCAGTGGCATATTACTGAAGAATCCCGTACTATGACGAAACATCTGTTTAATACTCCCTTCAGTTTTTCCAATAGGTCTCTAACAGTCAGCTCATGATGAAATCCTGTAACCAATATAATATTACTTACCTGTATCAAGGATTTGATATGATCGAATTTCTCATCCATATAAAATGTAGCTGTATCCCTAGAGAATAATTTTTTCATACGATTATTCATAATTTGTTTGAATAGCACATAAGTACCAACTTCAATTTCGTTTGAAATTTCATTCTTTTTCCTTTCACATTCTTTATTTGACAGCATCGCATTTTTTTCTTCGTTTTCTTCTGTTGTTGAATTCGTGCTACTTAAATGCATTTCAGTAGTTTGAGATTGTGATGAAGAATAATTGCTTGACTTCAATACTAATAATGGCGCAACAATATCACACATTCCTTGGGTATATTCATCATCAAGAAATTCCCATACATATGTTAACAGAATCCGTTGAATTGTCGCTAAATTTCTCTCACCATGTGAATCTTTAGAAAAATAGAGGGGGGTGAGAGAAACAGAAGTGATGACAAAGAGTATTCTTAACCATGACATATATATATATATATATATATATATATATATATATATATATATATATATACGTGCTGATTTCCGTAATAAAACGATCTGTTGCCGGCCCTTGTTTTCTGTTGTTACAGTACTATCTTGTTTAGGCATAAACCTTTCCTGTTCTTTCTTTATTCAAAAATTATTAAACCTGATTTAGTCAAATTACAACTCTGATCTTTCGTAGACACATTCGGGGTAAAATGAAAGACTGGCGTTTTTTGCAGTTGTAGTACTAGTAGTATAGATTATGCAGTACTTATGCCCATTAGCATGTCGTCACTTATGGCCACAAGTAATTTATACAGTTTCTAAATATAATCCCTAGTGAACTTCTAATTCCAATAAGCTACCATGGAAATGATGCTCTGTATTTTGTTTAGAAAATATTAATTATGCATCCATGTTGACAGCTGTTTCCTAAAATGTTACTCATATGTGTAGAAAAGATTTTCATTCTACGTATAGTTTAATTATAGTTGTAATTCATTTAGACTAATTGGATTGAAAAAAGCCTAATAAGCAACTTTAGTAGCCATAGGGGTGAATATATAATTCTCTAAGGTTTAGTGTGGGTTGTTTTGAAGATAGTTAATGAAGACTGGCTCCACTAATGATAGCTTTGCTTGATTAATTTGAATATATTTAATTATTTACCCTAAATTTGTAATTAGTTATTTAATTGAATCCCGGTGTAGATCAGATAATCAATCAAAAAAAAGGATTGTCAACCATGAACTCTGCTAGGCAAAGAATCAACTGAAATGAAAGTTCATTAGAGTTACCTATAATAACCAAAATTATTCACATCGTAATATATGACTTGATTGATACCAACAATGACAATCAAGAAAGCAATCATGGTATCCTCATGCTATATACTACTAAGTAACTTATATCAGTAGTAGGGCAGTATGATGCATTTGTGCTTGCTTTGTTGATTGTTATTTTGATCAGGTGGAATTTCATCTCAAATTGTGTAAATTGAAAATCGTGAATTCATTTGCGACTTGCAAAGTTGACTTGTAACAGGAGAAGGCGAGACACGGAAGCCAGGGTATATTTTCTTCATGTGATCAAACAGCTATTTATATCTATACAGTTTATATTCTTTAACCAATCAATCGCCGGGTGTGTAATTTTCGTTTATTAAACTAAGCGACACGAAACAGAATGTTCATGAAATACAAATATAGTATTCTGTTGCTAATGCACTCACTATTCAAGTTTGGGAATAGTATTCAGACGTTAACACCAATAAATACAATGATTCTTACTGTGAGAATAATATCGATCAATAAGGCTTCCATTAACTTTCTCATCCTCCACCCTGTTACAATAGATTTTAAAACTGTCATCTTATCCCATCCATCTTATTGTATGGCTGTGCTGTGTGTAATTGCATGTAGTGAGTGGTGTAGCTGATCTATTCTCTGGATTTCTTATCTTATTCGGGTCAATCATTGACAATCAATACCCGGCAATGATAGTCAGGTCAAATACATAGGTTAAACTAGTAGAACAGGGGCAGTCAGACTAGCGGAGCATAGAAACCTGGTAAAATCTAGATTAATTGACCCGAATAAGATAGGAAATCTAGAGAATAGTTCAGCTATTCCACTCACTACATGCAGCTACACACAACCATACAATAGGATGGATGGGATAAAATGACAGTTTTAAAATCCAATGTCACAGGGTGGAGGGAGAGATTGATAACGGAAGCTTTGTTTATCGAATTAACTGCAAGTACATGTAATAGGAATGATTCAACACATATCCAGTCGGATATCTGGAAAATTCTGCTACCCTCGACGACGACAAATAGGAGAGAACAAAGAAAACCATAAAATTCAAGTTTCCAAGTCGTGTGATTGTAATTGATATGATTATAAACAGCAATAAATTGTGTTCGAAACATTTTCATCTAGTAAACAATAGTGTTTCACACTGTGTGATACATCTAATAAACAAACTAATATGGAATTGTATGCTGTTGAGGAGAATACTCACTTCTCCAATCAAGACCTTCATTTTCATTCCTTTATGTTCACAGTGGAACACAGGGCTTCAAGCTAGAGAGGCTTGAACTTTCGGTAGCAGTGTTGTTTAATTTTTATTGGATGGGGTTGCCAGCCATTCATACCCAACCTTCTATCTTTACCAGTCTTATTACTGGCTTAGTGGAGTAAAGGAGTGCGTCATTGGTCGGGGTGTAACAACAGAAGACAAGGGCCAAGCAATAGATCGTTTATTAAGGAAATCAACACGTATTTATACATATTTCATGTACATTATTATAACTTATTCAAGCAGACAAACACACTCTTCTGATTGGTTGTTTCTCACAGAAAGTTAACCTTGCATCTCTTTCTAACTGTTTCTTGAATGTCTATATAGGTCATCTATATGTTAACTGTATCTGCCTACGTCAGGTCTGCTGTGATTGGTTGTTGAATCAGTCTTGTTCATATTTTCTCACGACCAATATTGGGGACATAAACATTGACCTCACCTCAGGGGGATCGAACCTCGAACCAACTGCATGGTTGGCGACGAGCATTCTAGCACTGAACCACACCTGCACAAAACCTTCACTTCAAGTAATATTCTGTCAATATATATTTCATCAAAGCATCAATTGTTCTGTCTGTCTCTCTCTCTACCAATACCTATCTGTGTAATTTCATTCGTCAATAATATTATCTGTCAGTATTCATATTTTGGTTACTAAATAATTTATTTCCAACAGTCACTCAGTATCAAAAATAAGATCCAGATTTTCAACTCCAATGTGAAGTCAGTGTTGCTCACTATACGGATCAGAGACTTGCACTGCGCGTCATAAAGAGAATCTCCAACAAACTTCAGACCTTAATTAACAGTTGTCTTCGCTCAATACTACTCAAGATAAGATGGCCGACCAGAAAACATCAGCAACAGGGATCTCTGGCAATGACCGAACCAACTAGGAACCGATTGTGAAACAAATGGGCAGGAAGAAATGGAGATGGATTGGCCATACTCTGAGAGAACAAAACATCAAGTGACATCACTAGACAAGTGGAGTGGAACCCGAAAGGGAAGCGGGCTGCGAGTTGGTCGTCAGTCCAAGAGTGACGTGGAAGAGGTCATGTGAAGAGGAGATGAAAGCATGTGGGCAGACTTGGAGTGGGTTGAAAAAGTTGGCAGAAAACTGAAGGCAATGGAGACGTGCAGCTGAAGCCCTATGTTCCTCTAGGAATTGAAGGATATAATAATAATAATAATAATAAATAATTTATTTCCAGCAGTAAAGTATGGAAAAAAAAGGCGGTGATGCTATATAAGAACACCTTCTGTGCCTACATATCACATTTGCTTATTCTTGCTTATTTTTAGTGCTGTCAGTCAGTCAGTCAGTTTCTCCTTCCAATCAGCACTATCAAAAAAAAAATCAAAGAAGAATAGTAGCTTCATTCACGTGGAACTTTCTTTGTCTTGTAGACGTAGATTGCTTAATTTTCTGATGAAAAACCAAAACAGAAATTTGAGCAACGGTTTATGCGCATAAACTAACCTAATTTAGAATAAAAACAATTGTTTCTATCACATCGTACAACATCCTTTTTGACAGATTCTAAAGCATGAGCAAATTGTTTCATAACAGACTCCTGAAAAATAAAATAAATAAATAAATGAACAAAGTGACAAGGTAATAAGGTTAATTTATTCTTATTTTACAAAATACATTTATTTTAACTTTTAGATTTACGTTATAAAGATAAGTGAAAACCACAGCATACTGGACAGCCTCCAACCGTCTAATATCATCAAATCATTGTGCAACGTGATGGCTAGCCACGTAGTGGTACGGTGATCACATTGCGAACCTGATTGATAGAATTCAGTTTCCACCAAAGAAAGGACTAGACACTTCACGAGTTCAAATGGCTCAGTGGTAACGTCTCTGACTGGAGCACTGAGTGACGCGTGGGTTCGGATCTCAGAAGGGAAATGAGTTCTTTCAGGGTTGCAGATAAGCCTTACTGATTAGTCCCAACTAGCACGAAAACTAGGTCAAGCAAGGCTTCCTTCCGATTGCCTTCAACCATCTAACAGCTCTTTTATATCAATGCGCATCTACAACATCACCAGAGGTCGGACTCAGGACCTTCACGTTACAAGACTAGGCTGGTTAGCTACATGAGCTGGAGTTTAATGACCCCTGAATCCTAGTTCTGTCGACTGGTGGTGTAGCTCTGCTGATAGCACCACTGTCTCCTTGATGAGCGTCCACTTCATCTTGACATGTTGGGCTCCACTGGTCACATCCACTTCCTACTGTAACTTTAGAAAATTCATTCAGAAGTCACCAGTGAACCGGTAATTGATCTGTCACAATGATGTTGGTTGGCGAAGAAAATCCAACAAGTGGAATTCATCTGAAATTTTCACAAATCTTCAATTAACATATAATCTTTATTTACCAGTGTTCCCCTTCATGAAACTGTTGATTTCATTTGCGATTACATCACAAGCAATGGGATAAACTTGCCCATTCCTGTAGCTTACATCAAAGACATCATCTTAATGTGTACAGAAAATATTACATTCACATTCCAAGCAGATTTGTTCGGAATCCTAATAAATCTGCTGAAGAAGCTGTGGCTTACACGGCGAGACGTTCAGAAAAATCTTGTTTTGATTTTCTTAACACGCTGAAATTAATTTAAATAATTTATAATTATTAATGATTGTTTCACATTTATTTCACATAACACTATTTCAAGGTTATTGAAGGTGATGGAAGCACTTTGGGGATTAATCACATACAGCCTAAACTGTGTGTACAAAAACAATACAATAGACTTCAATCTTCGCCTACCATGAACTGACTACATGACCTATCTAAATATGATTGGTCATTAGTATGTACTTTTGTTTTTATTTGACTGAGTAATTGTCATGATCTTTATTTTATTATTGTTAACCATGTTAGTTGTAAAGCGGTTATAAAGAAACTACAAAATGACGGTATCATCTCGTGAAATTTGTCTTCTTAATGCCTTATTCAAATTTATCAAAGGGACTAATTGTTTTAATTTTCACAAATCTTAAAGTAAATTTGCTTTTATTTTGTGAAGACTGGATACTGAACAAAGAGTACTCTTTTCGATAACGCCTTAACCATCAGGCTCTACAGTTATATATCCATGCATCATAGTGAGTGAATGAATGAATGAATTAGTGTTATGAACAACATTAATGTTGCTCTTTAAATAACATCGAATCAATAATATTGATAGATTACAGCTAAATAGCATCAAAATAACAATAAGCTGAATGTCAGAATAATTAGGAAAGATAATATTACAAATTCATGAATCTATAGTCTCTACTGAAGGCTGACCAGGGCAGTAGTAGTGGCTGGCTGGACTTGTTTCTTTTGAACACAGAGCACAGGTTGTTTGAGGCGAATTGCAATAGCCTCTGGTGTTTGGAGCATGCGGTGCTTCGATGATTTTAGCAATTTATTAGGCACCCGGTAGATTACTGAGAAGGATTCTTCCACGCTGGCTGGCTCTGTGGCCGGCCGGTTTGCACTAGGTGGTCCAATATCGAACTGTTAATGGTTTTCACTACACATTTACTTAGCCATAGTGGGAGATGTTCTCGAGCACGAAAACTCAAGTTCCTAGAGCAACGGCCAATATGACTCGTTCCACAAACGCAGTTGAATTGGTAGATACAATTTGAAGTGGCCAGCTAGTCTAGGTGCTTCATCTTCCAGTCGAGGTTGCACCATCGGTCGTGTAGAGAATAATACGTGTAGTTCGCTAGCATTAAAAGTTCTTTGAACTGATTTTCTTAATTTCCTCGTAATTATCTCACTTGGTATATCGCCCTTGAATTGTAGTCGTATATAAAGAGGCTTCTTGTTTACAGATAGTGAGTAGTCCTTTTCCGCTTTCTTTGTCATGTGTTTCTTGATAAATTTTTCGGGATAGCTATTTTCGATCAAAGTATCATACGCATTTGTTAGTTTACGCCGACTCTGGCGTAGACGAGATGTTCGACTATTGACCAAAGGGCGGGTGTACTGCTCATCAGTCCGCTCCGTCCTCCTTTATGGTTGTGAGACCTGGCCACTGAGAGTGGAAGACATGAAAAGACTAGCTGCCTTTGATCATAGGTGCCTGCGCTCTATTTCCCGTGTAAAGTGGCATAATAAGGTGAGCAACATGGAGGTTAGGCGTAGAGTTCTAGGTAAACAGGGGAAATCAATCGACGAAGTCGTGAAGCTACATCGACTGAGATGGTTAGGACATGTGTTACGTATGCCAAGTCATCGCCTCCCTCGACGAGCTATGTTAGCGGATATACGGTCAGGCTGGAAAAAAGCTAGCGGCGGTCAAACAAAAACTTGGCCTCACCAGTCAATGAAATCCACAACAGTTGGTCTAAGCCACGTAGAAAGGTGTAGACTTCCAGGCTGGGGTCCTCGGGACGGTAAAAATCTATGGTTGGAAACAATTGGTGACATGGCTCAAACTCATCGTTCTCAGTGGCGCAGATGCATCCACTCCCTGTGACTTATGATCTTCAATGAAACTGTTTTGTATTTCTTTATTACTCCTTTGTCTCACACCTCTGCTCACTGTCTCTATTATGCTTTTCTTGTACTTTCTTCTCTTGCTTCGCGTGCTACACGGAATGTGGCGACTTGAACTTCCGCACATTTGTGCAAAGTTCTATGTCGAAAACAGAACAGAACAGTGCCTTATTCATCTTCAATTACTTCTTCTGAGCATATAGCTCTAACTGACTCTGTGGCTGAGGGTCTTCACTAAATTTCTTTTATACTTGATAGGAACGAAGCTGTGACATGACATCATCGATTTTGAAAAGGCCTTCGACAGTGTTGACTACGAAGAAATTCGGAAACTACCTAAACCCTATGGAGTGCAGTGGCCAAATCTTTATCAGCCTCATTCAACACCAATAAATGACAGTGGCAGGGATCAGATGATGCACAGCAGAAAACTTAACAAAGATGTGAAGTGAATATAGGACTTAGACAAAACCGAATACCATCATCATTGATACCCCCTAACTGTGGCGGATTGTATTATGCGTCAGACTGTGAGTTTGAACTGAGAAGACAGGAATACGTTGGGAGAATAAGAGGATTTCGCAGACGATTCATGTGTGATATCACACAAACTCAAAGAATTACCCACGAAAATCGACAAACTGGCAGAAGAAGCAGCCAGCGAAACCAGGACTTAAAGTAAACACAGAGAAAATGGAGGGGATGAAAATAACCAACCAACTAACAACAAGCACCAATCACAATGAACGGACTTTCTTCGTTTATCCAGTCGGGTAGCATCGTTTCAACTACAGGCAACAGCATGGATAAGGACATCAAAACCAGAATTGGAAATGCCAGGCAAACCTTCATTGATATTAAATCAGTTTGAAAATATTCTGCACTCAGCATGCGATGGGAAGGAAATTCGGATTTTCAACATTAACGTTAAGTCAGTTCTTCCATGTAATTTTGAGAATTGACGTGCCACGGATAACATTCCTGATATACCATTGAAGACTTTTACCAATTGATATGTATCCATATATATGTATATGTATGGTGGTCTCTCTTTCTGTTACTCTCTTAGTCTGTGACCATTTCACTTTGATGAACCTGTCTCCTTTAACAATGTATATTCCCCTTATAGTATATATAATATGTGTGTTTGTTGACATGTCTGCTATATTTTGCTATGTATATATAGATCGATACTCCATTATAATCAGCCAATCATGTTAAGACTGTCTATTGATTGTTCACACACTTGTTCGGACATTCATATATAATTTTGCTCGCACACTCTTGTGTGACATATTGATTCTCCTTGTGTTTGGAAAATAGAAGTATCATCGTAAACCTAGTGGTCTTCTGGTTTTCGTCTTTCTTGCGTCAGGACTATTAAATTCTCGACCAGTACATAATAATAATTTGGCGATGAGTACATAACACCAATAAACTTTAGGCACGTACTAGTCATGGACCTATCGTTTAACAAATATGTAGGTGAAAATGGAGATGTATCGGGCATATGTTGGGGAGATCGTCAGGTAAAATTGCGTACCAGCCGGCTGAGTGGAACCAGAATGGAAAACAAGTTAGGTATGACACCGAGGGTGACATGTAGGAGAGATTGTGAGAGGAGGAAATCAGAGACTACACAGGCTATCTTAGAACCAACTGAAGAGGATCGCAGAAAATAGGAGAAACTGAAGATATGCTATTGAAGCTGTATTTTCCATTTGAAGCCCAATAGAACAACAACAATAATAATGTAACATGACACAGAAAGTTCTCCAGGTGATCCGTAAAAATTGGAACTGAGCGTGAGACTGTTTTTAGTTTTATGCGGCTACAAACAGTCAAGAGTAAAGAATGAAGTTATTGAAGTAGCTGACCTGTACGGAACACCAAGATATTTTGTTCTGGTTTTTATTGACCATAAGATGATTCCATCAAATCCACTAAATTCGTGTATTTTTAAGTTTCTTTTGATTTATTATTATTACTGGTCTGTTCTGCATTTATTAGAACTAGATAGGTGTCATCGTTCCTCACATCTTACCAACACTAAGCATC